CACAGTTAGTTCTGGGACAACCAGGAAAGTTACACAGAGAAATCTGTCTCAAGAAGACAAAAACAAAACAAAACAAAAATAATAATAAAAGCAATAACAGTTTTCATGTCAATAAAAAAGCTCTTAACTGGGAGGCCTTACCCTCTCCAAGGAGCAGATGGGAGAGGGGGGACTGCGATTGAAATGTAAAAAATAAAATAAATTAGAAGGGGGGGATTCCTGATTAGGAATGTGGAGCTGGAGAAGTGATTGACAGGTTGAGTCCTCACTGCAACAGTTCCTACCAACAACCTACACAATCGCTCCGATCCCCGGTTCCAAAGAATCTGATGCCATCTTCTGTCGTTCTTGGACACTAGGCACGCACATGGTGTACATATATGCATGTATTCAAAACACTTGTACACGCAAAATAAAATTTAAAAACTTAAGCTCATTTTAAATGTATTTATTTGCTTTCTGAGAGTTTTCTGTGTAGTTCTTGTTGTCCTGGTACTCACTCTGTAGACCAGGCTGTCCTGGGATTCAGAGATCTGCCTGGCACTGCCTTCTAGTGGTGGGAGGAGAGGTGTGTGACACCGCGTCAATCTTTAGTCCATTGTTTTGAACCTTATTTCTCTGCCGCACTAGAGATCAAGGCCAGGCCTTCGGCATGCTAGGCAAGTATTCTATTGCTCAGTTTATCTTCCTAAGTTCCTGTAACTACATTTGTGGAGTAAAAGAGAGCCCATCCCACATTGTGATGGACCCTACCTACCCCACTCCAGGAAGATGATGTCACTTCATACTCTCCAGTCTGTCAAGCATGGTGCCAGTGGCTCCTCTTCACAGCTTAATCGGGCACAAAACTTGCTCACCTTCCCAATTCAAGTAAAATTGTATGGACTAGTATACATGTGCCTTTTGATCATAGAGTGCACAGTTCCCCCAGTGTTCTAACAAGGGGGGGCACCAAGGCCGTGTGATGGTGGCGCATGCCTTTAATCCCAGCACTCGGGAGGCAGAGGCAGTGCCAGGATAGGCTCCAAAGCTACACAGTGAAACCGTGTCTCGAAAAACAAAACAAAACAAAAAACAAAAATGGGGGCAGACACATGGCTAAAAAGTCAATTTCCAGTACCCACAGGAAGATCACAACTGTCTGTAATTCCAGTTTGAGAGGATCCAATACTCTCACACAGACATACATGCAGGCAGAGCACCAATGCACATAAAATAAAACTATAAATTAAAAAACAAACAAACAAAACTCAGGCTAAGCACTGGTGGCACACGCCTTTAATCCCAGCACTCGGGAGGCAGAGGCAGGCAGACTTCTGAGTTCGAGGCCAGCCTGGTCTACCGAGTGAGTTCCAGGACAGGCTCCAAAACAATACAGAGAAAACCTGTCTCAAAAAAACTAAAAAACAATGACAAAAAACTGATAAAACTAGTTAATATTCTAATGTTAACTAAAAAAAAATAGGCAATGTGTGTGTGTGTGTTTTTTTTTTTTTTGCACTCGGGAGGCAGAGGCAGGTGGATCTCTGTGAGTTCGAGACCAGCCTGGACTACCAACTGAGTTCCAGGACAGCCTCCAAAGCCACAGAGAAACCCTGTCTTGAAAAACCAAAAAAAAAAAAAAAAAAGAGCATATGCTACTCTTGCAGAGGACTGTAGCTCAGTTCCCAGCACCCATGTTAGGCAGCTCACAACTGGTGTAACTCCAGTTCCAGAGGATCTGATGTCCTCTTCTGCACTCCTGTGTACAGACACACAAAACACACACAGCTGAGTTCCCAACACCCCTGTTAGGTAGGTCACAACTGGCTCTAACTCCAGTTCCAAAGGATCTGATGCCCTCTTCTGGCATCCACAGGAACCACACTCATGCACGCACTTTTTAAAAAAATAGCCAGAACCCTGCTACAACTAAAGGTGAGCTGCAAAGGGGTATCCCTACACAGATAAAACTCTCCTGAACTTAATCTAAGCATTACAGCGGCTTGGATGAAAAGTGATTCTGGTACTTGGGAGCCAAAAAATACTAAGTGTTACAGCTTGGATGAAAAGTATTCTGGTACTCAGGAACCAAAGTATACCACAGGTCACAGTAAGCATAGCAGCTTATAGCCCTGCTCCAGGGAAAGGCTTATCCAGGGTTATCAGCTCTGCACTAGCAGGAGAACATCTCCCCAGCTCCAGGAAAAGGCTTCCCCAATGTAACAACTCTGGTAGGGCAAGAGAATTTCCCTGGCGAAGTCAGTACAGTTTCAGCTCCAGCCCTTGTGAGTTTGGAGTGTAACAACTTCACTTCCCAAGAGGTTTCCCCAGCCAAGTGTTACAGTCCTGTTCAGCTCCACTCTGCCCATGGTCAGCTCTGCTCCAGTGAAAGATACAAGGTCTTCACCCAAACCTCATTCAAGAGATTTATTGGGAAGGAAGAATCCAGGATTGTGGCTGCCCTCTGCCAGGGTAGAAGACAGCCACAAACTGAACAGGCACAGGGTTTACATAGGGCTTCTTAGGGACAGAGTTTTCCAGGGTGGGGATTGCCAGATTTCAGTACCTGAGCTCAGACTGACTAGATCTTGTGCTCAGGGATTGATTTTTCTGCTCAGGTTCAGGATCAGATTTCACTCCGGTTTCAGGGCCAAAGTGTGTTTCTTTCACTGGTCCTTTTTGGCCTTTTGGCTCGAACTTTAGGGTCAGTGCATATTTCGTTGACTGGCTCTGATTTTAGGGACAACATGTGTTTCCTTGGCACTGGTTTTAAGGTGCATATCTTTGGCTCTGGTTGTAGGGCCAAAGTGTGTTTCTTTGGCTGGCCCCTTTTCCCTACAGTTACCATAATGTGGTCCCCACAGCTTCCCTGGGCCTGAATAATGTAAAGACCTTTTCCTTTTTGTTTTTTTTACAGTGTTTCTCTTTGTAGCCTTGGCTGTCACAGAACTTATTCTGTAGACCACGCTGGTCTTGAACTCACAGAGATCTGCCTGCCTCTGCCTCCTGTGTGGGATCTGATCTTAGTACCATCTATGCTGAAGGGGTCAGCTTCCCACTTGGAAGTTTCCTGCCTTCCACTTAATAAGGACAGGCACCTATCTGCTACTGAAGATTGGCTTCTAATCTAGGAACTAGTTTCAGGCTTTTTTTTTATAATCCAGTGCTATTGCTCAGTATTTTTTGATAACCATCTTAAACCTAACCTAGTTTTCTCTGCTCTGCTGTCTTAGTCTTATAGTTTCTATTGTTAATAAACACCACAACCAAAAGCAGCCTGGAGAGGAAAGAGTTTATTTCAACTTACAGAACCACATTACATCTTCTCTGATGGAAGTCGGGGCAGGAACCTGGAGGCAGTAACTGAAGCAGAAGGCATGGAGGATCGATGCTTACCAATGTGCTCAGCCTGCTTTCTTGCAGTAATACCTAGACCAGCAGCCCTGGGCTGGCTCTGTCTGCAATGGGCCCGGCCTCTCACATCAATTATCAATCAAAACTAAAAATGCCCTTCAGAACAACCCTATGGAGGCATTTTCTCGATTAAGATTCCTTCTTCCCAGCCAAGTAGTGGTGGTGCACGCCTTTAACCCCAGCACTCAGGAGGCATAAGCAGGAGGATCTCTGTGAGTTCGAGACCAGCCCGGTCTACAGGACAACCTCCAAAACAATACAGAGAAACCCTGTCTCGAAAAATCAAAATAATGAAGAAACAAACAAACAAATAAAGCTAGCCAGCATATTTGCCAATGAGCTATCAAGTGTGGTGAGGGCTGCCGCAGGCAAGTGATTGAAGCCAGGAGCTCAGCGGCAATACTGGAGTTTCAGGCAGGGCAGTGGCCAGCACAAAAGTGGACTTATATGCTAAGAGTGAAGTGTGTGTGTGAGTGTGTGTGTGTGTGTGGTGCTGGGGATCAAACCCAGGGTCTCTGACATGATAGGCAAGCACTCCCTCACTGAGACACATTCCTATTTCATATTTCTCTAATGCAGCAATCACAAGTGCGGTGCCTTCTGCTAGGTTATCAGTGTGGACTACCTGGGGAAATTTAATCACTTACTTTTTTGGTTGTTTAATAGGTTAAAAATCTGTTCTCAATATGAATTATTTAAAAAAAATAGCTGTGTCTGCATATGGATATGTGAACAAGACTGCAGGTGACCTTGGAGGGCAGAGACATTAGAACCCCTGGAAGTAAAGCTAACAGCTGTGAGCCACCTGACTTGGGTGCTGAGAACCAAACTTGGGTCTCTGGAAAGAACAGCTCTTAACTGCTGTGCCATCTCTCCAGCCCAGCTGTTCCTTTTAAGAGGTCTTTTAAAAAGCTCAGTTTAACCTTGTCTCGTAAAACCAAAAAAAAAAAAAAATGCTCAGTTTAAGCCGGGCGTTGGTAGTGCATGCCTTTAATCCCAGCACTCGGGAGGCAGAGGCAGGCAGGTATCTGTGAGTTTGAGACCAACCTGGTCTACCAAGCAAGTACCAGGACAGCCTCCAAAACAATACAGAGACACCCTGTCTCAAAAAAAAAAAAAAGCTCAGCTTAGCCCAGCAGTAGTGGTACCCACCTTTGATCCACTCGGGAGGCAGAGGCAGACAGGTATCTGTGAGTTTGAGGCCAGCCTGGTCTACAGAGTAAGTTCCAGCATTGCCAGGGCTACACAGAGAAACTCTGTCTTGAAAAACAAAACAACCAAACTCAGCTTAGCCTGGACTCTATGTGACAGAGGATGTCCTCCACCTCCTGACCCAAATGCTCCACAAGTGATCTGGGATCACAAGAGCTGGCCACCAAACCTACCTGAACATTTCACCATCTTCAGTGTTTAAATGCTTTTGCAGAGAAATACTTCATTTTTATAAGGAAGATGAATCTAGAAGAAACGTTAAAAAAAAAAGCCTAAGCCTGGAAAAGAGAGACTGTAAATGAACTAAGGCCTTGCTTCTTGCCCCGCCCCCCATTCAGCAAACATCTCAGCTCCACAGGAAGAGTGTGCTGAAAGAAACACAACACACCTGCTTCCTTCACTTAGCACCATTTATTGTACTAACGGTCAGCTTTTTCAGAAAACCCAAGGTAGAAAACATCTGAAGATCACATGTTTTGCTTTAGTTTTGGTTTTTCCAGACAGGGTTTCTCTGTGGCTTTGGAGGCTGTCCTGGAACTAGCTCTTGTAGACCAGGCTGGTCTCGAACTCACAGAGATCTGCCTGCCTCTGCCTCCCAAGTGCTGGGATTAAAGGCGTGCACCACCAACGCCCAGCTGAGGATCACATTTACAGGAAGAGCAAACATGACTCGTGCCATAGGTCTCCACTCTCTGGTCAGCACAGAGAACAGTATTCAAACTTCCAGTTTAATAAGACAACCATAAGATCATTTTGAGACAAACACAGGTTTAAAGAAAATAAAGAATTTCTTGGGCACCTGCTGACTTCCTGAACACAGGCATCCTCTACACTGGCATGTGGCCACTTGGCTCACGGAATGTTGTGGACTAAGCAGTGACACAGAGTGAGGGGAAATAATCACTTTGCTGATCTTAGAGCGCCAGGATGCTGACAAACACTCAGCAGTCATCTTCAAAGGAACAGCACAGCACACTTGAGCTTACACATAGTAACATGGGGGACAGTCCAGCTGGGAAGTTAAAGGTGTAGCTGAGTGGGGCTTCAAAATCAGGCTCCCTCCTCCCTGCCTACCCCCAACCCTCAAATCAAAGTGACCAGGTGCTGCCAATAAAAAAGACAGAGCCCAACTGGAATGCCAGGAGTTGACAGATAGCAAAAGAAATTCCCATTCCTGGCAGCAGCTTACTCACAGACAGAAGATCTTCAAAACCAGAATTAAACAAAAGGACTGCTCTGTTTTACTGTCTGTGTAAATGTCAAGTTACAAAACACTCGTGACAATGACTATGGAAAGCCCACCTGGTTCAAAAAGAAGAGAGCTGCCAGAGTGGATCAGGAGGCAGCTGATTGAGTTCAAGGCCACGCAGGGTTACAGTATGAGACCCTGTTTCAAAATGACAAAAGGGCAGAGCAGGCCATGGTGCACAGGAGGATCAGAAATTCAAGGCTAGCACCACCTACTGAGCGACTAAGGCTAGCCTGGGCTACACAAAACACTGTCTAAAAAAAAAAAACAACAACAAAAAAGGTAGAAAGACATGGAAAATTAGAAAAAGTTCTTTCAGCTGGATGGTGGTGGCACACACCTTAGTCCTAGCACTCCGGGGACAGAGGCAGGTGGATCTCTGTGAGTTCAAGACCAGCCTGGTCTACAAATGAGCTAGTTCCAGGACAGGCTCTAAAGCTACACAGAAACCGTCTCAAAAACAAAAAAAAAGTTCTTTCTAAACATAGGACACTAAGCTGCTCCTTTACTTGTACCCTTAAGGCCTTTCTCAGACAAAGAGACAGACCTTCTAAACTCTTCCACCATGGTCTGTTCATCCAACATTCCATACTGAAGACTCCTGGCACATTAGGCACTGGGCCTCAAAACATCCGTCCCTGTCCTGGGGCCTTCTCAGTGCTCCCAAAGCAGGAGGCAGGAGCCCACTGTTCAAATGTCACTGCATTTTCCAAATTAAAGGACACAGTGCAACCCCAGCTGGAGAGCTTACACAAACATCCTTACACAGAACTTCCCGACTTTCCCAGGAAGCAAAACAAAAGCCCTTCTGGTGAGTGCTTCTACAAAGGGCAGACTGCACTGTGTGATGTTAATCCTTAAGCACCACAAAGCCCAGGGACTGGTTAGTTAACTTTCTTTTACGTGATGGAGTTCATTTTACTCCGAGAATGAAACATTGTAAAATGGAAAGAAAGTGACCTGTCCTATGTGCAGATTAAGACTCAGAACCATCAAAGCTGGAATTTCAGGACCACTAATCTCAATGAACTCCTTCAGGCTCCTCTCCCAGGGGCTGATTTTCAAAGTGCTCTTGGGTCAGCCGCTGTATGTCCTTCCGCACATTTGGGTGGTCTTCCAAATCTTCATAGAGTGACCTGACGATGTCCAGCCTCCTGTAGTTCTCAGGCTTAACCAGACTTCGTACAACCTGAAGGCACCGCTCTTTCAGGGTATACACTGCAAGGACAGGAAACCAAGACCTCAGAGCCAGACACCCCCAGCCAACAACTGCATTTACCTTGTGAGTCACACTTTAAGGGTAAAGTAAAAAGTGGAACACATGTGATAGTATCATTTCAGCAGGTCTCACAGTGCTCACAACTAGCTCATGAAAGTGGCCTGGGCCTGAGCTTTTTTTTGTTTTCAACTAACCAAATGTGAAGCCATCCTGGTAACTCAGGGCCTAAGTCTTAAGCAGGTCCAGCAATATCTGTTTGTCCATTTTTTTTTCTTGGTTTTGGAGGCTGTCCTGGAACTCCCTCTGTAGACCAGGCTGGCATCAAACTCAGAGATCCATCTGCCTCTGCCTCCCGAGTGCTGGGATTAAAGTCCTGTGCCACCACCCCCCTGCTTTGTTTATCCACTTTTTTTTTTTTTTTTTTTTTTGGTTTTCAGAGACAGGGTTTCTCTGTATTCTTTTGGAGACTGTCCTGGAACTCGCTCTATAGACCAGGCTGTTTATCCATTCTTTTTTGTTTTTGTTTTTTTTTTTTTTTGGTTTTTCGAGACAGGGTTTCTCTGTATTGTCTTGGAGGCTGTCCTGGAGCTCGCTCTGTAGACCAGGCTGTCCTCGAACTCACAGAGATCCGCCTGCCTCTGCCTCCCGAGTGCTGGCATTAAAGGCGTGCGCCACCAACGCCCGGCTTGTTTATCCATTCTTAAGAGCTCTGGGTTACACTGCTGGAGAGACCTTACCAAAAAGGGCCAAGGCCTAGCTTTAGGCAACTATCAACAGGAGACAGCTGCATCAGGTCCCAACAGTAAACAAAATAACCAGTCAGACTGGAGATTTTAACAAATATAATGGATCTTGCTAGTTCGGGAGTGAGTACCACATGGCACAGATAACCAAGACAGTGTGTACCTGGATGTAGAGTAACCACTGCCATTTGAACTCACCGGGAGCTGGGACAGAGCGGCTCATACATGCAACTACAGCACTCAGGAGGATGAGGCAAGATCTCTCTAAATCCAAGGCTAGCCTGCTCTACACAAAAGTAAGTTCCAGGTAGTCACGGTAATAGTTAAGACCTTGCCTCAAATAAAATACAAACAACACAATAAATTAGGCATGATGGTACATGCCTATAATCCCAGCATTCAGGAAACAGAAACAAACAGAAAAAAATGGTGGAAGTTTGGTCTACAAATAGTTTCAGTTCTGGCAGGGATGCAGAGCCAAAACCTTTCTCCATAAACCAAAATAGAGCACGTATACACCTGTAATCCGAGTGCTCAGGAGGCAGACTCAAGTGGGTCTCTGTAAATTCCGGGATGGCTGTGGCTACAGTGAAACATTGCCTCAGGGGGAAACAGTTGGGGAGGCTATGGAGATAGCTTAGTGGTAAAGTGCTCTTGTACAAGCTCAAACCCGTTAAAAGCCAGGAATGGTGCCATGTATTTATAATTCCTGTGCTGTGGTGGCAGAAAGGATCCCTTGGGCTCTCTGGCCTAATCTGAGTTCCAGGTCACTCAAAGTCCCCGTCTCAAAAATTAAGGTAGACAATTGAAGGAGTAGCATCTGAGGTTGACCTCTGCCCTCTACACCATAATAAGTGGAAGGTAAAAGAATGCTGGGGTTGGCTGGGCATTGGTGGCCAGACAGGACTGTTAAACAGAGAAGCCCTGTCTTGAAACCCCCAAAGGCGATACCCTGCTACCTCCAGCACCCTCCAGTGACCTGTCTTCTCATTATAATGCCCACCCACACCTTTTTCAAAGACTGAGCCCATGTAGTGACTCAGGCCTGTAATCCCAGCACTTGAGAAGCTGAGGCAGGAAGATTTCTCTAATTCAAAGTCGGTATGAGCTACATAGTTCCAGGGCAACCTGGGTCAGAATGCTAGATCCTATTTCAAAAGAAAAACACAAAAATGTAAGATTGAATATCAACCTGGCAGTGTGATGTTGGCAAAAATAGGCTGTCCATCCACATTGAGGGATGGCACAAACAGTTCTGTTTGGTTAACCAGAAGTCCATCATGGGTCCCCGCATCCCTGAAGAGCCAAAGATGACCTGTCAACACAAGCAGAGGGCACATCAGTCTGAGTAAATCACCTGTTTATTACCCCAAGTCACATGAAACACTTGACCTCTTGCTCTGCTTAATGTTCTCCTCCCAAAGGGAGACGACATGCTGCAGGCGAAAGACAAAGTAGAAAGGACAGGCCTGTGCTCCGCAACCACGGCAGGAGAGTACATCTAAGTCAGGGAAGTGCTGGCAATCTCACCGCACACTGCAAGATGCGAAAGGCCACTGGGTCTGCAGGCCAGGGGATGCAAAAGCACAATGTCGACATTAGGAGACCACAGACGGGGCAGGGAGGTGGCGCACGCCTTTAATTCCAGCACTACGGAGGCAGAGGCAGGCAGGTCTCTGGGAGTTTGAGTCCAGTCTAGTCTATAGAGGGAGTTCCATGACAGCAAGGGCTACACAGGGAAACACTGTCTCAAAAAACCAAAACTACTGTACAGTGTGAAAAGTGGACAAGAGCTTGACTCTGGGAGGGAAGGGGCTGAGTGAGGAAGGGGCAGGAAGGATCCTCAGTGATGGAAAGTTCTGGGTCTCTAAGTTCACCTAAGTGTTGCTGCCAAAACCTCTCAAAGTCCATGGACCTCTGCACCTTAAAATGTAGACTATACCTTCACTTTTAGAAAGCGGGTACAGCATCAACAGAACAAAGGAGGCAAACCTCAGAGGTAAGTCTGCCTTGGAGAACACAGACTTCCTTCAAGACCTGGGTGTTTTGTTTTGCTGGGGACTGTAAAATAGGAGACTACAGAAATTTTGATTCCTGTTGCGTTCTTCCTCATCTACCATTAGAAGTTTGGTATAAAAGACAGATCACTACATGCTGAGGCCCTGTTTCCAACAAAAAATAAAACAAGTAGGGGTTGGGGAGATGATGGCTCAGTGGTTAAGAGCACTTGTCACTCTTAGGCCAGATTTGGTTCTCAGCATCCACAGTATCTAACAACCCTTTGTAACTACAGTTTCTGGGGGATCAGAGACCCTCCCCAGCTTCTATAGGCACATCATACACATGACACAGACACAGCCTTAAGGGAAACAAGATAGACCAGACAGACCTTGACGGAATGCTTGCCTAGTATGTGAAAAGTCCTGGGTTCCATCACTAGCACTGAAAAAACCAAGTGCTACATTCCAAACATCTAAGAAATTTATTTTCCTCTACATATTAAAAAGATAATTTTAAGGGCTGGAGAGATGGTTTAGCGGTTAAGAGCACTGACTGTTCTTCCAGAGGCCCTGAGTTCAATTCCCGGCAACCACATGGTGGCCTTGGTGGCTCACAACCATAGAAGCATTAGTTTATTTCATCTTCTTAAGCCAGGGTATCATGTAGCCCAGACTGGCTTGAACACCTGATAATCCTGCCTCCACCCTGTTCTCCAAGTTGCTTCAAGTTTGTAGCACCAAACTTAACAATATGAGTCCATTAGATGTATGACCATCAGGACAATGCCCTCAAGAGCCTCCCTGGATGTGGATGGGTGTGAAAAATAAGCAGTTCTGTTCACATGTGTAACCCCAGGAGGCTGTGAAGAAACACCAAGACCACAGCAACTCTTACAGTATTGGGGCTTGCTTACAGATTCAGAGGGTTAGTCCACTGTCAGCAGGTGGTAAGCATGGCAGCATCCAGGTAGACAAGGTGCTGGAGAAGAAGCTGAGAGTTCTACATCCAGATTCACAGGCAGCAGGCAGGGAGAAAGAGAGACGCTGGGCCTGTCTTGGGCTTCTTCTTCTTCTTCTTTTTTTTTAAAGATTTATTTATTATGAATACAACATCTTGCTTCATGTATGTCTGCACACCAGAATAGGGCACCAGATCTCATTATGGATGGCTGTGAGTCACCATGTGGTTGCTGGGAATTAAACTCAGGTCCTCTGGAAGAGCAGTCAGTGCTCTTAACCTCTGAGCCACCTCTCCAGGCCCGTCTTGGGCCCCGCAAAGCCCACCCCAGTGACATACTTCCTCCAACAAGGCCACACCCACTAATCATTTCAAATAGAGCCTCTCCCTAATCATTCAAATACATGAGCCTATGAGGGTCATTCCTATTCAAACCACCAGTTTGCTTGGTTAAAATTATGTTTCCTTTTTCAAGTGACTGCAAGCATTTAGGCCATCAGATCCCTGGAGCTGGAGTTACAAGGAACTTGTAAATTGCCTAACAGGTGCTGGGGGACCAAGCTCTGAAAAGAGCTGTAGGAGCCGGGCATGGTGACAAGTCTGTATTTTAATCCCAGGACTCAGAAGACAGAGGAAGTAGGGTCTCCGAGTGAGACGAAAACCTGGTCTACAATTCCACATCACACTCTGCTGTCTTTTGGTTTCAGATGCAATCTTGCTGTGTAGGCCTCGAACTCACTGAAATCCTCCTGACTCGTCCTGACACACAGATTTGGGTATGTTTTTCACTATGTAAATATGGCAATGCCAAACAGCCCTATTTCTCTAGGGCTTCTGAACATAACCTTTTAAACTTTTCCTCCCCCTATTTAGCAGGCAAAATGCCTGGGCAGTTGCCTCAGCTACTTGAGTCTTGGGATTTTCCACAGGCCAGCAGCTTCACTTGCTCTCCATAATCATCTAGGCAGGGCCTTGATAGAACTCCTTGATAGAACTTTTCTCCACTGACGGTGGTGGTAGGGTTAATAGGCTCACCCAGTTAGACTTGGGGCAAACCTGAAATCCCGGCACTCAGTGGTGGAGGCAGCAGGAATTCAACCCAATATTCCATATTCACCAGTCTTGGGCCAGGACTCCAGTCCGAATAGGCGATTCCCCAACAACTGTCAACCCCCTCGGCTGACTCTTATTCTACTTTCTCCGAGGAGGCGTGCTCCCTACCTGGACGGACCCGCACTCTGCCCACGCTTTCACAACCCTCTCAGGCCGGTTCCTACCGCAGCAATTATGACACCCGCTGGTTCTTGTCTGTTAATGCATTTGAGCCCCTCCAGTTTGTCACCACTAAGTCAAGGCTTCGGATGCAGAACCGGACCGGGAACTGGGGACACCGCGGCCGAAAGCACAGGTAGGGACCAGGTAGATACATTCGGGAGGAACAAAGTACTCGGGGTTAGAAAGAACGCACGCACCGGGCCTGTTACAGCACCTGCGGCCTAGCGCACGGTTTGTACCTCGGTAGCTGTGGATGCGGCGGCCGGTACCAGGCGGCAGCGTCGGGTAGGGCTGAGGCTCGCCGTCGAAGTTGAGCCACAAGGGCAGCACGACGCGCGGGCTGCGGTTGCAGAAGATGACCTGGGAGGGCTCGCGCGAGTTCACCGAGCGCAGCACCGGTCGCGGCCGCTCGGCCTCCATCTCCCCAGGGCCGGGATCCCCTGCCGCCTCCTCCTGACAAGCTGCCTTCCGGGGTTTTATTGGAATTGATCGCCTCCGGATTCGCAGGCTGGACCTGGGCGGCGCGTGCGTGTGGACTTACGCGCTCGGGTCCAGACGCGATAGGTCCGGCTTGAAACGCGGAAATGGCGACCCAGAGCGCTCAAACTGGGGGGCGGGGCCGCAGGAGGAGGGGCGGTGGTGGGCGGGGCAGGAGGAGGGGTGAGCCACGGAGGAGGCCGGAGTTGTTTCTGGTTTGTTCCTAAGGTTTGCAGCGTTTTCTTAAAGGTAGGGTCTTAACTCTGTAGCCCTGGAACTCACTATGTAGACCCGGCTGGTCTCAAAATCAAAATCTTACCTGCCTCTGCCTCAGCCTTCCGAGCCCAGTGACTAAAGGCCTTTGGTTATTTTGTGACAGGATTTCCCTATGTAGTCTGGAATTTGATGCAGAGACCAAACTGGCTCCGAAGTTAAGAACCACCACACCTGATCTCACCATAGTTTTTTGTGTTTCCTTAAATTTCATTTCTTAAGAACTTCACGAGTTTGCCAGGCGGTGGTGGTGCACACCTTTAATCCCAGCACTCAGGAGGCAGAAGCAGGCGGATCTCTATGAGTTAGAGGCCAGCCTGGTCTACAGAGCGAGTTCCAGGACAGCCTCCAAAGCCACAGAGAAACCCTGTCTCAAAAAACAAAACAAAACAAAAAGATCTTCACGGGTTTGTCATATTACCCCCTCTACTATTTTCTAAAGTTTTTCTCACTGAAGAATTTGTTTTGTGCTACAAATTTTAAAATGTCAGGCAGAGTACAAAAATGCAAAACTTTTCCTTATTTCCCATCAGTTTAGAATTCTCAGAATATGAGTTTTGTTTACTTTCAAAAGTTCTTATGCACATGAATAGAATTTTAAAATATTTTTTATTCTATTCTTCATTTTTTTCTTTTTTTCTCTTTTTTATGTTTTTAGTAATTTTTTTTCTGTCTTTTTTCTTTTTAGACAAAGACTAAATGCATAGCTACCATTGGCTTGGAGCTCAAGATAATAACCCAGGCTGGCCTCAAATTAGTGGCAGTCCTCCTGCCTCTGCCTCACAAGTGATGGTATTAGTTATATGAAAACATGCCTGAGTTCTAAGAATTAGTATACAACTACTATCAATGAACATGGACGTTCACTACCATTTTCCATAGACATTTATTGTTGAAGTAAATGTCAAGAAAAACAGCAGGAATTGTATTTTATCCACTGTCTATTTTAGAGGCTGATTCAAAGACATCTGAAATTCACCATTTCTCCCAAATCACATGAGTGCCTGTTGACAGAGGGCGAGTGTCACAGTTGGAATCCCGCCTGGCTCTTATTTCAGGTGTAGCTTCAGATTCTTTGATGAGCTTTTCCTTCTTTTTAAATGTAGTGCAAGTGTTTGCACACACTTGAGCATGTGCATGTGTGTACACAGTAGTTCATCAAGGTGCAAGTTGACAACAGACAGGGAGTTGGAACTTCTGACTGTCCTGGCACTTGCCCTGTAGACCAGGCTGGCCTCGAACTCACAGAGATCTGCCTGCCTCTGCCTCCCTTGTGCTATGATTAAAGGCTTTCTGTTTGATAGACAAGCAACCTACCTCCGAGCTACACTGCCATTAGCATTTTGTTCAAGTATTAACATCATAAAAGTGTGGATTAAGTGTTCATGGCTCAGCACACACCTATTGAACAAATACCATGTTATTATAAACCCTGTCTCTGCCTTCAGAACGCTGAAAGGCTACCGTGGAAGCACATAGGACAACATGGAGCAGTGTGATACTGGTTACAACAAAGAATATGAAAGGTAACTAGATGAGCCACAAAAAAAATCTAACAGGTCTCTTGAGTCTATTTAGGCTGCTGTATTAAAATGACTTTGACTGGGTAATCACCATGAGCAATAGAAATTTATTGCTTTCAGTTCGAGGCTTGGGCAGTTGAAAATGCATTGTTATGGGCTGGAGAAATGGCTAGTGGTTAAGAGTGTGTACTGTTCTGAGGACCCTAGTTCAGTTCTCAGCACCCAGCTTAGGTGGGACACAATTGCCTGTCACTCCAGGTGTAGAGGATCCAATCTCATCCTCTGGCCTCCACAGACATGTGCACAGCCCCTTCCCCCAGACACAAGTCAACATACATAATTTAAAAATAAAAGTAGGGCTGGGCATTGGTGGTGCACGCCTTTAATGCCAGCACTCAGGAGGCAGAGGCAGGTGGATCTCTGTGAGTTCGAGGCCAGCCTGGTCTACAGAGCGAGTTCCAGGACAGCTTCCAAAACAATACAGAGAAACCATGTCTCGTAAAACCAAAAAAAAGTAGGGCTGGAGAATTGGCTCCTCAGTTAAGAGCACTGGTTGCTCTTGTAGAAGACTCTGGTTTGATTCCCAGCACCCACATGGAACCCAATAACCAAATGGAACTCCAGTCTCAGGAGATCTGATACTTTTGTGGCACCAGGCACACAGGTGGCATACATGTATACCTGTAGGCAAAACATACGTATGAGATAGTAAAACAGGGGCTGGAGTGATGGCTCAGTAGATAAGAACAATAGCTGCTCTTCCAGAGGTCCTGAGCTCAATTCCTAGCAACCACATGGTGGCTCACAACCATCTGTAATGAGATCTGGTGCCCTCTTCTGGCCTGCAGGGATACATGCAGACAGAACACTGTGTATATATAATAAACAAATAAATATTCTTAAAAAGATAGTAAAATAAAAATTAAAGAATAATTAAAGAATAAATAATTAAGGAAAAAATAAAGCTGGAACTTCAGCTTCAGGGTACCTGACACTCTTCTTGTCTCTGCAGGTACCTGCGCATGTATGCACAGACCCACACCCATATCACCTTTTTTTAAATGTGGAGGGCCAACCAGATAGTTCAGTGGGTGAAGGTGCTTCCCACAAAGCCTACCGAGTTTGGTCCCTGGAACCCACAGAACTGACTGCCATAAGCTGTCCTCTGACCTCCACAAATGCAGCATGGCACACAAGCCTGCACACACACACAACTACACACAAACACAAATGTCAAAATAAAAGGGTGGAGAGCAAATAAGGAAGGCACCTGACATCAACATCCGGACCTGTACCTCCACATACATGCACAACCCACATATGCCACCCCAATAAAGCAATGACGGAATCCCACAGATGGCTCAGTAGATAATCATAGCATACACCTGAGCAACAGCATTCGAGCCTGGAGCCACCAGGTGGAAGGAGGGAATTGACCTTTGAAAATTGTCTTCTAACCTCCATATACACACCTTGACATGCACACCCCTCCCAACTTTGTAGATAGCATCCGGCCCTTGTGCTCAGATAAACACTGCAGAAACAGGAATGCTAATCATGCATGGGAAGAGATAAATACCTGTTTTCTACTCAGCGGGGAGAGGCTGTTGTTAATGACCGGTGACCTTTACTATCTGTAGAGTAGTAGTCCTCAACCTAGCAGTCAAAGTGACCCTTTCACAGGGGTTGCCTAAGCCCATCAGAAAATATATTTACATTATGACTCGTAAGAGTAGCAAAATTACAGTGAAGTACAACTAAAACAGCTTTATGGTTTGGGGGTCACAACATGAGGAACTGTATTAAAGGGTGGCAGCAGTGGGAAGATTGGAACCACTGCTGTAGAGCCAGATCTCACCTGAATCCCCACAACATTTATCCCAGACTCTCCCTTCCTGGGCTTTTATCTTTAGATTTCTCAGTCAATAGAACCCACCTTTATGTGAGACATCACATGTACTTTATAGCCTGCTGACCTCTATGCTATCTAGTTTAGAGACAACACCAGATCCCAGGCCCTTAAGCCATAGAAGCTATCTTCATGGTAGAGGTCACATGTACTTTGAATTGAATTTCCAAATAAGTATGCCTCCTTTTGCATTGGAGATTATGTTATACCAGGAAGCTTCTTTTTCCCCAAATTATTCTGTTTAATATGCTTACAATTAGCAGGGTGGTGGTGGTGCACACCTTAAATCCCAGCACTCAGAAGTAGAGGCAAGGATCCCTGTGAGTTCAAGGCCAGCCTGGTCTACAGAGCAATTTATAAGACAGCCCCAGAAGCACTATTTCCAAAAACAAACAAAAAAAAGTCTTTTTTTTTTTTAAAGATAAAACACTGGGTGGTGGTGGCACATGCCTTTAGTCCCAGCACTGGGGAGGCAGAGAGACAGGTAGATCTCTGTAAGGGCAGCCAGGTCTATAGAGCGAGTTCCAGGACAGGCTCCAAAGCTACAAGAGAAACCCTGTCTCAAAAAACAAAAACAAATTCATGTGTGACCTCATCAAAAGAGCCTTTTCTTGCCCAAATAGCCCACCATTTTGCCCTTTTACTATCTTGGCATGCACAAATCCCTACACACAGTAGGAACAACTGGCTATAACGCCAACTGCGGAGCACCAGGTAATTAACACAGCTTTTGAAGTGTTTCTTCATCCAGGGGAAATGCAGACAATGGACTTGAGTGTCTGTTTAAGGCACTGTACAATAAGCTCATATTGAATACTGCAAAGTGAACCCATGAGGACATCGGGTGTCTCCATCTTTTTTTTTTTTTTTTTTTTTTTTTTTTTTTTGGTTTTTCGAGACAGGGTTTCTCTGTATTGTTTTGGAGGCTGTACTGGAACTAACTCTGTAGACCAGGCTGGCCTTGAACTCACAGAGATCCGCCTGCCTCTGCCTCCCGAGTGCTGGGATTAAAGGCATGGGCCACCAACACCAGGCTTCGGGTGTCTCCATCTTAAGATGCTATTTTTAAAGAAAACACTGATTCAGGATCCCTTATGTAAAATGCCTAGGATCAGGTAGATGAGACCCAGTTTTAAACATTTCATATACCTTATCCAAAGCCTGAAGTTATTTACAGTATTTGTTTATGTGCATTTGTTCAGGCCAGGCTAGACCTCGGTTATCTTCGTCTCATTCTCTACTTTGTTTTTGTGATGATCTCTTACTGAACCTGGAGATGTGATTCTGCTAGGGATCCTCCTGCCCATGCCTCTTCTACACTGGGATTATAGGACTGCACCATGCCTAGACTCTGACTCAGATCTCCTTGTTTGCATGTACTTTACCAACAGAGCTGCCTATTTTGACTGCAATTTACCATGTCCCTGCCCTGGACTCCAAAGAACTCAAGCTTCTCCAAGAAGTCCCATCCTGGGAAAGGGAAGAGGAGGGGGTCCTGGTGTCATCCAGCAGGGTAACTTGCCTCCTAGGAACAGCACAGCATTGTGATTTGTCAGGCCACCTTGCAGGAGACCAGAGCCAACAGAATAACCAGCAGGAACCATACCTTAACTGGAACTTTTACATATGCCTTTTTGTCCTTTCCTATGAGACAGTCTTTCTGTGTAACCTTGGCTGTCCTGGAAATCAAGAGAGCCACCAACCTCTGCCTTCCCAGTGCTGGAATTAAGGTGTGTACCACTACACCCAGCCTCATGTTTGAATTCCAAAGATGGGACGGGGCAGGGTATGCCACTGGACCTTTAGCTCCTCTTCCCAATGTGACCACATTGAAGAAACCCTTTCCTACTTTTCACTATCACTTAACTAGCGTATTAGAGCAGGGCAATACCTAGCTTGTCAGGGTCACTAGGGCCCAGGCCCTGACCATAACAGCTCAGGTGACAACCATACAAGTCAGGTGTGAAAAGGCTCACTTGTGAGCACTGGAGAGATGGCTCAGAGGTTAAGAGCACTGACTGCTCTTCCAAGGGTCCTGAGTTCGAATTCCCAGCAACCACATGGTGGCTCACAACCATCTACAATTCAATCTGGTGCCCTCTTGTGGAATGTAGGCAGAACACTGTGTGACAAATAAATCTATGCAAGTTTTCTGAAAACATAAATACAACACAGCTTGCACCCTTCTGGTCTGTTTTATCAATATTCATGGCAACATGCCTTTCTCAAAGCATCCAGATGGGTTAGTCCAGGGAAGGCAGCTCAGGTACTCTGAAATGATCCAATTAATCCAGAATGAACTGTGGTGTGAGGGCAACAAACCAGGAAACCTGAAAAAGAGGGCAGTACTGAATGTGTTCTTCAGGGCGAACTGTGGGGAGTTCTGACCCGAGCTAGACTTTGAATGTCACATAGGGCCTGAAGAGGGAGACCTCTATGGGAGAAAGTCCTAAAGGGACTAAAGCCCCACCTAAACAGTAGATTGGCCTAAGTTTATAGGAAGCTTTGGAAATAATATAATAGGAAGTCTTTGATTCTTCAGTTTAAACTGTAGTATTTGCTTGAGAACATGGTTTTTACATTTTTGTACATGTGTACAATCCTTCATGGGAACGGCACAGCATGCATGATGAGATCAGACGTAGATAACCTGCAAAGGTAGGTTCTCTCCTTCCACCATGTGGGTCCTAGAGAGAACTCAGGGCTCAGGTCTGGAGTCAAGCACCCTACCTGTTGAGCAGTTAAACTGGGAAGATGCTAGCTAGTATTTCAACAGATCATAAATATCAGGTCTAATTCAATACTATATCTTTTATTGGGGTCTAACACACCTGTATAGTAAATGTCCTTGGTAGTATCTGCTGAATGACCAAATGATTCCAGGATGAATGAGTTCAAGTGTCCAGACACAAGCACTCTGACAGGAGAGCTACCTAGTTTTGAATCAAACAGCTACATCTGCAGGTTTCCATTAGAGAACATTCCTACACGCCACACTCTGAAAAGTAAGCCATCTCTAGCTCCTGTTGCCACCACAATCACAGCAGTCAGGTAAAGTTGAATTTATTTGGGAAGCATGAGAGCCATGGATACCCCAAGTGACAGAAAGAAAACTGAAAATGTCCCTTCAAGGCAACTGGGGGCCTGGCTTTGACCTCCCAGAACAAGAAATTGGTGAGTTAGCAACAACATTTTCTGGCAACCACACTGCAGAGCACGGAGTCTCAGCCAGGATTGCCCCCATCTCCTGTCACAGGCGGAGAGAAGACAGACTGTTGACACAATCAGTGCAGAGGCCATGGGAGCTGTAGGGAAAGTCTGAGAGAAAGAGTGAGGTGGGGAGGACTTAACACTGAGTCCTGGCCTTTGCCTCTGAACACCTCAAGCACATGGACAAGTCGTTCCAAACAATGTCACTGAAAAGGGGAAATGCCTAATGCTGTTCCCAAGAGGGGCCCTGGACTTATTCCCCATGCCACATCACATCCCAGACGCACACGGCAGAGCCCAAAGGCCACTTTTGAAGAAAGAAAACAAGAAAAAGCCCTGTTGCTGGAAGGAGAGGGGGAGGTGCAGAAGGCTGCTGGGCCTTTCCCACATGGCCAGTGTTCTGTACATCGACTTCCCAGCAGCAGCGTGGCACAGCTCTAGGTGAGAGTCTCACCCTTTGTCACCTGTGAAGGGAAAACTGACATTTAGATAAAATGCAAAGGAACTAAAACCATTTTTAAAAAATCTCATTTTGGATCCTATGCAGTGAGAAATGGATCCAAAGCAGCTCCAGAGTCCCAGACACCTAAATCCAGGCAGAGCATTAACGTCTGTAAGCCTGTTCTAAGTAGAAACGAGCATTCCCTCTGGGGTAGCCTGTGACCATACTTACCCTTGCTTCAATGTACTCTATTCTCCGTTCAAGGGCTGTCAATTTCTCATTTAGTGTTGCGAGTCTTGATCGACAAGACATATCTGGTAAAAGGAGACTGATGTTCAGGATTAATGTCACTCCAAATACCCACACCCACAAAAACCATCTGGACTGAAGAGGAAATGTATCCTTCCAAATACACATGGGGACTAGGGATATGGCAAGAAGTATTTTAAGATCAACTACCCAAATTCTGTGCAACAACTCAGTTCCGCAAATGGCAGAGAAGAGCCACCACCATTGCCTCATAGCCAAGGATGGTCTTGCATTTACAGTGATCCTCCTGTCTCAACCTAAATTTATGCAACTTAAAAAAGTTGCTAAATTTAACCAGGCAGTGGTAGCATACGCCTTAATCCCAGTGTCGGGCCCAAAAAAATGAATCTGCTTCATCAAGGTCAGAGTCTTAAGACCTAAAGGTCTAAGGTATGGCTACAGCAGAATGTTTGATTTTTGGCCTTGGGTGTTTTATCTAAGTAACAACAGACTTGTTATGATGTGTGGTTACTCCTGACCCTCAAGTCCAGATAATGAGAAATTGAGTCTAAGGTGTGGTTACTGAATCGTTGGAGAATTGAGGAAGAAAGTCTGTTTGTTCCAGGATACTATGTTCCCCTTTTTGGTTAAGGTATTTAAGAATGGTGAAGAATAAACTTAGGGTATTCAGTATTCACTGCATTGCCCTCCTGACTCTGTGCTTTGTATCTATCTGCCCTTTCTCAATCCACACTTCCCCTCTCAGGTACAAACCGGAGGACAAGTTGCCTGGTTCCGACTGTAGCCCCACGAAGACACATTCCCGCATCCCAGCACTCTGGAGGCGGAGGTTAGTGGATCTCTGAGTTTGAGGCTAGCTTGGTCTACAGAATGGGTTCTAGGACAAGAGCTACACAGAGAAACCTTGCCTCAAAAACCCTAAATAAATAAAGTTGCTAAATTTATGGAAAATTGCTAAAGTAGTAACATAAAATTAATATGCAAAGAACATATAGCTGGCAGTTTGTCAATTAGCAAACTTAAGGTTTCAAGAGAAGGGACCAAACAGAAGCTCTTCAACTTAAGGAAGGGTGTATCTCAATAAACCCACTGGAAGTTAAATTAGGGTTATGCACTGAATCACCAGACTGAAGAGCACCAGCTGCTTCTTGAGCCCACTGAGCTGAGTGGGAGCTGGGTGCCTCTGTTGCCTAGCATCGCAGGCACCACAAAATGTTAGCCTGGAAAGAGACCAAAATTCAAAACCTGAGTGCTGTTTTAGGCTGGGGTTATAGATCAGTTGAGGAGGCTTGTCCTAGATTACTCCAAGTTCAACTGCAGCAGCGAGGGAGAAAAGCCAGGGGATACAGCAGAAAACAAAGGGAGGGAGGGAGGGAAAGAAGGTCCAAAGAGGAAGGGAGTAAGGAAGGAAGTGAGGGACACAGCAAGGGTGTCAAAGCCCATGCCATTCCTGGTGTCTGTCTCTGTCTCTCCCTGCTTCATGCTCATGGATCAAGCCATAAGCTCTCAGCTACTGCTCCAGCGCCATGCCTGTCTGCCTACCTGTCTGCTGCCATGCTTCCCATCATGATGGTTATAGGCTCAACCTCTGGAACTGTGAGCCCCAAAATAAATTCTTTCATAAGTGGCCTTGGCCATGGTGTTTTGTCACAGTAGTTGAAAAGATACAAGTTGGTCTCGGGGACTGGATTATCATGTGACAGGCCTGACCATAATCTTTTAGGAGGAATGTAGAAGACTTTGGGATAGAAAAGCAGCTGAACACCGTGGGCAGATACTAACGGGACCTTAATGCTCAATGCACTGAAACATCCTAATAAGACCCTGCATGAGCCGGGCGTTGGTGGCGCACGCCTTTAATCCCAGCACTTGGGAGGCAGAGGCAGGCGGATCTCTGTGAGTTCGAGGCCAGCCAAAACAAAAAGCCTGCATGACCACTAGACTATGGAGGTCCTGCTTAAGAGTTCAGAGGATGGGCTGGAGAGATGGCTCAGGGGTTAAGAGCACTAACTGTTCTTCCAGAGGTCCTGAGTTCAATTCCCAGCAACCACATGGTGGCTCATAACCACCTTGAATGAGATCTGGGCTGTATTTATACACAATACATAAATAAAAAAATACTTAAAAAATTAAATTAAAAAAAAGAGTTTCAGAGGAAACAGCAGTGCCTGGAGTAGACACCATTCTTGGGATGTTTCACAAAGAATGTGGCTGCTTTTTATCCTTGTCCTAAAAACCTGCCTGAGGTTAAACTGAAAAGTTTTGGACTAACTTCTTTGGCAGAAGAGATTACAAGACAGCCCAATAGCAACTTGGCGGTGTGATTATTAATTACTCTTCTGCAGGTCTACAATGAAAAAGAACAAGCGGGGCAAGAAGAAATACAAAATACACAGTTTGTGGAGAAAAAGACCACTAGGAAATTTAATGTTGGAGCCAAGGCTTGTGTTGAAAGAGGTAAGAAGTCTGATGAGAAATGGAATAAAGGGAAATGGACACTCTCAGGGCAAGACTCTACCAAGCTAGTCCTGCAACTTATGGAAGAAAAGGGTGTAAGGAACTTTCTGCTCCTAAGAGGCATCAACAACTCAAAGTTTATAATCACGGAAGACCCAGGCTCCATCCCTAACAGGCAACAGAACTTGCTAGTATTGGTCATGTGGTTATGGAATCTTCCTCCACGACTGAGGAGAGCTGCTGAGGCCAGGTGTGTGGTAGGAAGTCCTTGCACGGTAGCTCAGAGCTGCCATCGTGTGCAGTTGTCAAAGAGAAGCCTGGATTGCAGTGGCGATCCTAGGATATGTTACAGCTGTGGGGTATCTGCTAGGGAGAGCTGCACACAGGGAGTGGAAACAGTCAGGGAGAAGAGTGTGTTACCGTCAGCAAAGCTGTAAGGGAAGAACCATATAAGACCTTTGAAGTCAGAGATACAGGATTTGGAGTTCGCCCTGATGGGTTTCCATCTTGCTGGGTCCAGCATTTCATCACGATGCCACTATTCCTCCCTGCTGGGATGTAATGCATATTCTGTGTCAATATATGCTGGAAGTACGTAATTTGCTTTTTGATTTTTTATGGGGGTTACAATTAGGAAATTGCCTTGAGTATCAGAAGAGACTTTGGACTTTTAAACTATACTGAGACTGTAAAAGACTATGGAGACATTTCTTTTTTCTTTGAGACGGGGTCTCCCTCTGCAGTCATGGCTGTCCTGGAACTCTATACACAGACCAGGCTGGTCCCAGACTCAGAGAGATCTGACTGCCTCTGCCTCTTGCATGTTGGGATTAAAGACATGTGCCATTATACATCACTGACTATGGAGATTTTTAAAAACAATTTATTTACTTTTATTTCCTTTGCACTGGTATTTTGCCTGCATGTATGTCTGTGTGAGAGTGTCAGATCTTAGAGTCAGAGACAGTTGTTAGCTGCCATGTGGGTACTGGTAACTGAACCCAGGTCCTCTGGAAGAACAGTCAGCATTCTTAACTGCTAAGCAATCTCTCCAGTCCGACTATGGAGATTTTTAAAGTTAGACTAAATGCATTTTTGCATTATGAAATGGCCAAAAACCGATGGGGGTCAGGGAGTGGAATGTGGTGGTTTGAATGGGAATGGCCACCACAGGCTCATGTATTTGAATTCTTGGTCACCAGTTGGTGGAACTGTTTGGGAAGGATTAGGAGGTGTGGCCTTATTGGAGGAGAGGTGTTGCTGGGGGTGAGCTTTGTTTGCATGCTCTCTCTCCCCTCCCCCTCTCTCTGCCTTGTGCTTGTGGATCAAATGCTCCAGTGCCATGCTTGCCTGCCACCATGCTCCCCACCATAATCCTTTGGAACCATGAGTCCCAAGTGAACTCCAAATTAAATGCTTTCTTTTATAAGTTGCTTTGGTCATGGTGTTTGTCAAGGCAATTGAAACCTAACTAAGACAGTGTCTCTTCTGCACTCTTGGAAACTATGTGTAATTCCTATCTCTGAAAGACACTGCTTCAACAATACCCAAATACCAAAAAAAGAGGCCTTTTTGAACCAGAGAAATTCAATCAGCATAAAGCACAAAATGGAACCAAGACTCCATCTGTGAAAAGCAGCCTTGAGGGTTTCCTCTGGCTTTTCCCCTTTCCCTTTCACTACCTCACCCAGAATACAAACAAGACTCCCCCAAAATACCTTTTTCTCTGCTGACTCCTATCTGAAGCCATTAGATAGAGCCCTATTCTTCTCAACTGCCCTTAACATAGGAGAAAGGAGGCAAACGTGATGGCCACTTCCTACTACCTCCTCCAAACCATGTTTCTATCTCTATAACTTTCATTTTTTAGACTAAAATAGCTGTGATCTCTCTGAACAGTCTCCCACATGATGATTCAACAGTGAGCTAACAACTTTCCTTTTCATGTCTCTCTGCAAAGCACTTAAGCATTCACTTTGATAAATCTTTCCACACTCTGATCCAGCCTCGACTGTCATCATCATCTTGCCTATCTAATCATTCTTCTTCACCGAAACTTGGCTAAAAAGTTGCTGCTGAATGTATTCAAATTCTTAAGGATGAACTTCTCGTTCTTAAGTTACTCATGTATTTGGGTCGCTGGCTGTTACTCTACTTATGTTGGATAAATAGTTTTTAAAAATTAAGTAAGAGGAGAATGGGCTGAGGAGATGCCTCAGTGGTTAGAGCACCTGCTTGAGGGCAGGAGTTCAGACACCCAGCAACCATGAAAATGTTAGGTGAGCATGGCCACCTGCCTGTAGTTCCAGCTTCAGGTTGACAGGATCCTCCTCTGAGCAAGCTAGCTAGCAAGACCCTACCAGTGAGCTCTGGATTTGACTGACAGACCCTGCCTTGATGAGTGAGTTGGAAGAGCAACGATGATTCCCTTGTGCATGCAGCACCCACACACCAAAGAGAAAAGAGCATACACAAATCCACAGCCACACATGCACATGAAAAATGGTGTGTGTGTAAAAGAAGGATGTTTATTTCTGTTGCTTCTATATAAATACCATAAACAAGAGAGGGTTTGACAAAGCACACG